CATTCTGATAATCATTCAGATACAACTTATAGATACAATCCAACAATCGTTTCTGGATGGAGTCTTTAAGCCCATTCCCTCTACCATTGACCATCACCGAGTGCAAATTTCTGGGCACTCTAGTGTTCAATCATCTTCCACCTTCAAGTCACGAACGACAAATCCGCCAATCTAACTCTTCAGGTTTAAGAAGATTGAACAGGGGCAACTATTGTACCCCAAACTTTGCCCTCTCATTTCTCAAGGAATCACTCTGGATCCTCAAGTTTGCTTCCATCCAATTCCAAGCCTTGGACTGCAATTTTTCAAGAAAGTCATCCGCAAGGGCAAAATGGTCATTTGTACACTAAAAAGTCAAACTTTGACTTTTGGACCAAAACCAATTTTCAAGAATCATCTTTCATCAAGACATGTTGAAATATGAAGTGTGTTTCATCAAGAAAATCAAAAGTCAATTTACTTTGGGAAAAGTCAAAATTTTAAATACTTAGAATTTTTCTAAACGTTTAAGAAACATGACAAACTCAGAACTTCTGGCCGGACTTTCACCATGATGTAAGCTAATTCTAGATCAACTTCTTACACCAGAGTTTTAGATCTTAACAAGATCTAAAACATTATAGAACAAAACGTCTCCTAGAAATGCTGAGATTTCAAGATATAACTCCTCAAAAATACGTCCTTGAAACTGAAACACTCAGCTAATTCTGGACACTCCCAAGATAGAGTTTGGTCAGAACCTCTGGGCCAGTTTTCATAAAGGTCCAGTTAGAACCTGCAAGAGCAATTCAAAGAAAGTTTACCAACCTTCCTAGAAAGTCTGGGAGTTCCTTCAGAACATGCTGGAGCCAGAAGATAAAAGGATCAAATGATTGGATGCTACGCTGAAGCAGAATTTCTGATCCAAGCAATGATGCAAAATCTCACATTACAGGATTCCCGGGTTGATAAATCTCATCATCATTTAATGCTCATAACCACTTTTGAGTCTTTATCCAAAGGATCTCCCCACGTGTGGCATAGAAGTACCTTTGATGTCCTTAAAAGCAACTTTTGTACAGAAATTTGTTAGGGCCCATGCATTGCTTTTTCTTTTAGGATTACTTTTCCTTAATCCCTGCTTGCTAATTCAGTTTGGGCATGGCTAAAAACTGTCAACTACCACACCTATTTGAACTTGCTTCAAGAACAAGTCAGCGCCTAGCACATGATAGTTGTACCCTTGATCTCTCCAAGCTACAAGATCCTTGCCTATAAATTGGAAACCATTGGCAACTGTAAAGAGGTCGAAAAATTAAGAAAGAAAAAAGCCTTGAATCCCTGCTAAAATTCCAAGAGCCCAAAGCTGCAAACAAGATACAAAACTTGTTAACTTTTGATTTCTTGCCTTCAAACTCCATCTGTTCTCAAGTGTTCCTTGACTAAAACCATCCACACAGTTTCTGATTCACATATTAGAAGTTATTCTAACTTCTGTATTCATACTGCAATACACTCTCTGTCCACCTCCACCTCAAAGAAGTTAGAACATCGCCCCTTGGCTGTTCCAGAAATTGAAAATTTCCATCCTGCTGATTACGTAAAGAAGTTGCTCAGAATATCATCAGAGTCCAGGACCAACCTCCAGTTCATAGAATTTTTTCCAGCTGCAAGGTAAGCTTCTGCTGACCCTTATCACGTTACTTAAGCATTACCAGATTTGCATGTTCAAAAATACAATGCAGACATCATGTTTCTGATGTTGTACATATTTTGAGGCTTCACGTATTTGTCTGCCTAAGTATAGAAAAAATCAGTTTAGAACTTCTGGAAGAAATTAGAACTCAGAATTAGGATTAGCAAATTCACGCTTACCTCTGATTTATAGTTTTGATATTTCTTGTTTCTGAAATGCTATGAAACCTGCCATAACTGTCATATGCGTATCTTCTGTTTTGTTGAGAAATGACCAAGTTGCAGATGTTCTGACTAGCATGAAGAGGGAGACCAAGTTTTGCCAGTGGTTTCAGAACTTCTGAAATTTTCTTTGTTCCCAGCGGATCCAGAACTTCTGACTTTATCTATTTTTCACTAATAGGATATCTGTTTTGCAGTACGCCAGATGTCAGAACTTCTGATTTCCTTTAGTCAGCAATACGCTGATTCTACTTTCTTTTTCCTCACTATTTTTGCTAACATTTTTTTATTTTTTTTATTAATCAAAAATACCAAAGAAATTTTTCATTTCTTTTAACATGTTTTACTTGATTTCTTAAAACATAAAAAGATAAAAATATTTTCTTAAACAAAACATATTTCTTTTCTTACACGAAACAAACATTTTACATTTTTTGGTACACGCTTATCCATTCAATGTGGTTGTAATAGATAATTAGGACTTAAATTCCTTGCAATCCCGATTTGTAAATTTGTATACCCCATCCCCAAATATTGTAATAGCCTAGGACTTTACATTTTTGCACTTTTATTGCTTTCATATATTGTTAATAATTAGGGTGTGTATGGCAAGACTAAAACCAATATTTAGAAAACCCTAATTCAATACAAATTATGTATGCAATCAAACACACTTACACACAAGCACCCCTAGGGTAATCTCACTTTGTTTCCTATCAAAAAAATAGTCATGTCCCTCGAACATGGGCATTTTAGCAAAGACCCTCGGTAAAAGATCGTAGTCCCTCGATGACCCTCGATGTTGCCTTCGGTAAACGATCTAGTCCCTAAAAACGACATTGCTAAAACGTCCCATAGGTTTCCTTCTATGACTATACAAACGTCCCGCGTCCATCCCTCCACATCCAACGATGGGGCTTCTTACCAAATTAATGGTAAAATAGTAACATCTAAAGGAGGAGGAAAAACACATCTAAGACCTTTTGAGTAGGTAGGTTCGCTCTTAGTCGCTTGCTTGCTCACAACAAAAACATTTTATACACTAACACTTTCATTTTGAAACATTTTCGAAAGACAACACTTTGTACGCGTTCTTATAGAGACGAGAACCATTACAAAGACACCTTTTTAAAATCACTTTCAAAAACCCATTTCACAAACACACCTTTGAACTATTTTCCAAACAAACACTTTGTACGCGTTCTTATAGAGACGAGAACCATTACAAAGACGTTTTCAAAATACTTTTAAAAGCCACACCACAAGAATATTCAAACAAAAGCAAGTGATCTAGCGAGTAACCAAGAGCCCATGGAAAACCATGGATGGAAAGGGTGTTAATACCTTCCCTTTTCATAATCTACCCCTCGAACTCAAGAAAACATCTCTAAAGGTCTTTCCTGTGCTTTTTCACCTTTCCTTTTGGATAAAAGAAAAGTCGGTGGCGACTCTTGCTAAACCGCAACATTTGCGAACACAAACGCAAAACCTCAAGTCAGTTCTCCCACCGTATCACAGTTTCAATCCAAGTAATGGAAATTTTATCTTGGCTCATAATGTCAAGTTTTGGCTTCTTGTTGGTTAGATGGTTCTTATCCCTAAATTTTACCTTATGCTTTAGGATAGCCTCTTCTTCTCCTCCCATCTTCTTTAATTTCAAAATCTTCTTCCTCCTTTTGAAAACTCTTCTTATTTTGAAACTTAAACTACTTTCATAATAAACTTGGACTTATGTCCATGCATTTTCAAAACATTTTCATAAATAAACTTCAATGAATTTAATAATACCTTGATTTTTTTTGTGAGAAGACTAAAAGTCAATCAATCTCATTCAAACCATTTTGCCACTTTGGCTTTTACTTTAAACTTTTCTCAAAGGATTAAACTCTTGTCAATCCTTATAGTGATGCAAACAACTATACTTCTAAAATATGTAGTGAAGAGAGATATTTTCCACTTGGGTGTTGAGTGAGACATTGTTGATTTTGAAATCCAAGCCATATCCTCCACTTTGAGATGATTCAAATTCTCCTTTCTCATGATTGTGGATAGTAGGTGTGTTTTCCACACGGACAATGACGATGATGTTTTATCTCATAAAATTAACCAACACATTTGTGTTTCAATCTTTTAAAAGAGGAACTACATGTACCCTGATCCCCTATTGCATGAAAGGTGGTACGTAGGCACTAAAGGTTTGCAACCGCAGCGGGTGCAAAAATCATAAAAAAATATTTCTTTTCTCACCTCCACCATCCATTTATATACAACAATTTTTTATAGCCAAAATATACAAATTTTTACAAAGAGGTTCCTGTGAAGTACCGCAGATGTTTAGGGCGCTAATATCTTCACTACAAGAAAAATGATAGATTGGGACGGTTATTTTGGCTGATTACGACGGTTAAAACCGTCGCAATTTACAATCTACGACGGTAGAAGTACCGTCGCAGAATCGTGCGTCCCCAGCCTATTTCGCGACGGTTGCAAAAACTGTCACGCACAACAGATAGCGACGGTTATATACCGTCGTGAATTTGACTTTATTTTTTGTTTTTGTTGTTGTTTGCGACGGTTATTCTACCGCCGTAGGTTAGAAATTGCGGCGGTTTTAACCGTCGTAATCTGATTTATAAATTTCAAATAATATTTTTATTTAAATTATTATTTAGTAAAATAATTTTAAATATAATATTATTTTACTATTATATTTAAATTATTATTTACTTTAATATTTTTTTATTTATAGTATTTTTATTTTATTTTCTATCACTTTTCAACATAATAAAGTTAATTACAATAAAAACATTTAATATCAAATAATCATCAATAATATCAAAAAAATGTGATCAAAGGTAAAAAGAAGTGCAAATTTTACCAATAAACAAGAAAAATTCAAATATCATCAAAGGCCAAATTTCATTTTAATATTTACATTGGTTTGCTACAACTTGAGAGAATTACAAAAAATGTTACAATATTCTACAAAATTCATGAAAGTCCTTAGTGTTAAGTGATTTTGTGTTAAACTTCCATGCTAGGACCATGATCCTTCCTTGACTACCATTTGGTCCAAGCTACGCATACCTAGCAGCCTTCAAGATTCACACAAAACATATTTTTGTACTCACAAGAACATGTGGCAGGTTTTTGGCATCATAATATGCCTCAGATGGCTTAGTCAATGTCTTTGTGATGACATGTTTTTCCAATTCTACTTGTCCATTTTGCGCTTCTTCTTGTACCTGCATTACAAAACTAACTGTCAATTATGGGCTGGCAGAATAACTCTCACAATCAAACTCCAATTGTATGAAAAGTTATAAGGTACAGAAAAATCAACTACAACAAAATCTCCAATAAAATAAAATTCACTTTCCGCTAAGGAGAAACCTAATCAAATTTGGATATGTATCAAGGCGTCTTGGCGACAAACTTCCCTGTTATAGCATTTGAATTTTCAGCAAAGTGTATGAAGCTCAAAGATCCAAGTATATTTCTTTTTAAATTCTACAATCGCATGCGTTTACGATAAGAAAAAGTATGATACAATAAGACACCACAAATATTTACTCTTCCAATTTAAAAAAGAAAACATTAAGTTAAGTTGGGGCATTTTTAAAAAACCATTGATGTTAATAATCGCATAACAGATCTTTGTTGTTTGACATAACAGAAAATATGTGAACTTGTATCTGTAATGCATGCGAGTTTTTTTACCATAGTGAAATTATTATAAAAAGTAACATGAGTGTTATACTTACATTCAAAAAGTAAAATTGGAAAACATTTCCAAACAACATGTAGATCAATAAAGAATTTGTTGTGCTTAATTGACAAATACCTCAGGTTTCTTGATATAGTAATTTGAGTGGCAGCCATATAACATTGCTAATGCTCCGTGTGAAGCCATGGCTTTTTGCGTGAAAGAGTGAACACCCTGCTCCATCCTTATGATAGTCCGCTTAGTTTCTTCGTGTTGATATATTGATACTAAATTGTAATCAGAATATAAATTGTTAATCTATAATAATGTCAAAAGAAAACGATGAATTACACAAGCAAATTAAATTAAATTTTTATAGAGACATGTGGATTTTTTGTTCTTTTGATAGACATAGGTTATGGCAAAAACATTCACGAGAACTGAGCCTATCCATTGCCCAAATAGCTGAAGCACCCTCACATACCATGAGATAGCATAAAAAATGCAACAGGAAATAGAAGTGTTCTTTAGTTGAGCCACTAATTAATACTAGTTGTCTCTTTTTTCAATAGGAAATACAAAAGCAAATTAGCAAGTAGCACAAACCAATAGTATTACCTTCTTCATTCTCATGTATGAGCCATATATTTCATTACCATGTATCTATCGTATAAAGTTGTATGTTGCAATGTCACGACTATTAACAAGTCTTGTCTAGTTACGACACTAGTCTGAAAGGAACTTTCATAAAACTAAATAAACCAATTTTATTCCCAAAAAAAAATAGTAACACATAAACTTTTTGGTCTCAGAAGGAACTTGACAAAAAATTATACTAACGGGGTTTAAATTTTCTATTGGGGTGAGGGGGAGCGTCATAAAAGCATTTTTCAATGGATGAACGAATTTACATGTAAAAACAAAAACACTATAAACCTAGCATTTACCAATTTAAGTGAAGCGAAAAGTTTCACCAAGCTTACATTTTTCTAAAAGCTCTTCAGCAAACTTTAACATTGCATCATTCTCCTCGACAAACTTTGCATATCTTTCTGTCTCCTTGACTGCCTCAGCAGCCAAAAATGACTTATTCTCTGCATCAGAAATGACTTAATACAATGTTGCATATTTCCTGTCACTACTATATGGTTTCACAAACTTTGTTTTTCATGCATTGTATTAATTTTGGATATATGTTTGGACAAACTTTTCCACAAGTAGTTATAGAACAGAAAATCTTCAATATGAAATCGACAAAGTTTTAAAAAAAGGGTTATCTTACCACTCTGTCTGTTAACATGATAATTTGATCAATAGACAACACTTCAGACATGAATGCCTCATTCTTAATAATGACACCTTTCGGTTCTCCGGTTGTTCCACTTGTGTACATTATTGTGCAAATGTCAGTCTTCTTTTTCAGTGGTAGATCCCAATCTAAACTTCCCTGAAGCAGTTGAAAACAAGCTTATCAGTTCAGTTTTAGCAAACTGTTGTAAGAGTTTGATTCTTCTTGAATCGAACCATGAACGTTCATAGTAACCGTGACTGTAACCACAGTTTAAAACACTAATATCTTACCAACTGGAGAAACTCTTCCCAGGAGAAGCAGGACGCGCCAAATTCCTCAGCTTCCTTCTTTTGTGCGACTGAAACATTTCCAAAGCTCACAATAGCTATAACATTGATTTAAACAGGTTAGTCTGCATTAAATGTAGTAAAAAAAAACTTAATCTTAAATAAGACAGGAATGCTTGACCTACTTTTAAGATTTGAAGAACACCGACCAAGACATGACAAAATCTGTGGAAACGAACGTTAGTTTTTTCTCAGAAGATTTAACATTGAAACAGTTAAATGTGTTAGACATTCCATGTTGCAATTGTTAAAACATTGAGCTCAAAAAGCTAGAACATACTGATGCAATCTTATTTTCTTGAACAAATGCGATTGAAACTTCAGCATGGTTTATGATAAACTCCACAGCATTAGGACCTGTTAGGCGTAAACACAAGTTAATTAGAGCATTTACAACTATACTCTTGTTTGTGTTCAAAACTTCTAGAGAGGATATATTTGAATTGATAAAGGAAATCATATTATCTTGTTTGGATTGACTTAATTTATTTTGCTTTAGAAATAGCTTATATTATAAGCACTTATATGAAAAGAGCTTATGCTTATAATAGAGCATATAGTTATCCAACCAAACAACTTGTTATCGGACACAAACAACTGTGAAGGCAGAAAACACATACCAAGGGTGTCATACAATGGAACATATGTTACTGCAGAGCTATTGCAAGCCTGCGAAATAGGAAAGTATCCTCCGGAAACAAAGCATGTCTCCTCACCATTTCAGCTGCATAAACAAACAAACAATCAATCAATCAATCAATTACATTTCCATCATTAATAGAGAAAGAAAAGTATCCAAATCACAAAAACCGTCTTAAGAGATTCACGATATTCTCCCTCATGAAAATAATCCCCAACTCAATTCCATTCAATTTGATTCCTAAAGTCATATTTGGGATGCAATCCAACTCAACCGAAATCATGAAATACTTTAAGGCACCTTAGGTATTATCAATAGCAGATCAAAAATTTTCATTTGAGTTCCGCTACACATCACTGCCGCGAATCCACCTAATTTTACACAAAACCCTAACAATTTGTTCAAATTATACTATGTAGTGCAACAATTCTACTATGAGATCCAAAACCCTAATTATGGTAAATTAGCATCAACAACAAGAAGAAGTAGAAAAAAGAATTGAAATCGAGAGAATGACGTACCAAAGATACATCCAACAGACCAGATATCAACTCTAGTAGAGTAGGTAGTAGATCCAAGCAAAACTTCAGGAGCTCTATACCAAAGAGTAACAATCTCATGAGTATAACTCTTAAGCGGGACGGTAAAAGCCCTCCCAAGACCAAGATCAGCAATCTTCAAAATTCCTTGCTGTTGATCGAGAAGCAAATTCTGCGGCTTCAAATCCCGATGAGATTGAAGCGAAGAAGGTGGTGGTGGTTGTTGTAGAAGATGGAGAGGGAAGTGGGGGAGAAGGAAGAAATGTTGTTGGTGGTGGTGAGTAGTGGAGATGAAGATGGAGGGAGTGGATGGAGGTTGAAATGAAGAGAAGACATGGTTGTGGTGGAAGCCGGTGATGTCGGGCAGCGACGAGAAGAGAAAAAAGGAGAAGCTTTTGGACCTGTTATGTTCTTTTGTTAGAAAATCTTTTAATTTTTTTATATTAATTTAATTTGATAAATATATAAATATATTATATTATTATCACTTTTTTGTAGTGTACGGGGCGACAGTTGTTATACCGTCGTGATGTGTATTTTATGGCGGTTTGTTAACCATCGCGACATTGATTTTAGGACGGTTTAATAAAAAACTGTCGCAATATTTAATAATTTTTTAAATATATAAGGACGATTGGTGTATACCGTCGTGAAATGTGTCTCTATATTAGAATTACGACGGTTATCAAGTAACTGTCGCAATTTTTGTGTCGTAAAATCCTAATTTTCTTGTAGTGCTTCCCTTTGCATAACCAACCCCCTTACCTTGAATATTTCTCCCTCTTTTTGGGTTATTCGCTCTTTTCCCATTCCTTTGAAAACAATAAAGCGCGGTGGCGATTTTGATTTTGATTTGTATAAAGTCTAGTCAATCCAATGGCTTAGTCTTGAGCATTTCTACCGCTACACACTCGTGTCAGCACCCTGTAATGATCCATGCGCATTTTTGCTTTCTGTACCAGGTAAGCTGATACGAGTGTCTTGTGACACAGGAACCCATGTCAGCACCCTGACTTGCCACTTTTGCATATTTCTGATTCCAATAAACCTGATACGGGCTGTGTCCTATGACACGGGCACTCGTGTCAGTATCCTGACCTACATTTTGTTAGCTTATAGTTCTAGTATGTCTGACACGGCCCGTGTCCTATGACACGGGCACCTGTGTCAGCACCCCGTCCTGCACTTTTATTAGATTTTTTCAAACAGATGAGCTGACACGACCGTGTCAGCCCCCTGTGTTGGCTTTTTTTATTGAGTTTTCTTTTTTTGATTTATCTTTTACATATCTTTTAAACACAAACAAAAAATTATGTATGGAAAAAGATATTACAGTTTAGAAAAAAATTATACCTTTTGAAGCGAAACTTTAGAATACATACGGATATCTCCGGATGTAAAGCGGTGAATGACCAAGCTCCTCTTTGGAGCTACTCCAATCCTTGCTTTGTTCCACAAAGTTCCAGAATCGCTCCAACCCAGTCAAAGGTGCAAAGTATTGTTTTTTTTTGTTTATGTTTAGAAGGTGATGATAAAGGTGTTACATAAACTATTCTTATGTTGGAACAATCTCTATGTGATGTATATGAGGTGTTTGGGTAGTTGGTTTAGGGGAAAGTTTGCAAGGTTGTACAATAATGGGTTGAGGATTTTTCTGTTTTGTGAGTGAAAACAAAGTTGAAGATGAGAAGAGTTTTATGAATGAGCTGAGTTTTATGAATGAGCAGAGTTTAAAAAAAAGTTTTATTTTTCTCTTCTCTCTTTTTCTCTCCAAAAAATAAAATCCCCCTTATGTCTTATGAAACAGTCCCTTTTGTAGATCCTTGACTGAGGTTTAGGAGGGAAACAAAATAAGTTATTTTGAACTATTTTTGCCTACTGTTTTGATACTTTTTCCACACAATTTTCTTTTGCCATTTTGGTGCAATTTTGTGGCTGTTATGATGCATGTTGGAGCAGACTGCATAGAGCAGTTTTGGACTGATTTTTTGACAGATTTTGGACTGTATAGGACAACATATGCAGGTTTTGTGACAGGTTTGTGGTGCAGCATAACACAAGGTTTTTTGTAGGACAGTAATGGAGCAGGTTTTTGGGTGTTGTGGCAATTTATAGAAGTAACATATCATACTTTGTTCAGCAGTAATTTGGACAGCATTGTGTGTAGCATGACACAAGTTTGATTTTGTGGAGCAATTTATGCAGATTGTATCAAAGACAAAGCATTGTGGCAAGATTTTGAGTCAAAGGAAAAAGTTCAAATAAGACAAAGTTTAGGATTTGTAAACTTGTAAAAATGCCACTTTGTAATAACTTGAATTATTTGTAACATCTTGAACTATTTTGAATTGTAATGAAAAGATGTCATGAAGCAATGAAATTAACAAGTATAGAAAATACTTAGAAAATTTTCCAAGCCTTGCAAAGTTGGATTTTTTACTTTCTTGATTTTTGATGATCAAATTTCATATTTTGGATGTCTTGATGAAATATGATTTTTGGGACTCAATTTTGGTCTAAAATTCAAAGTTTAACTTTTTAGTGTACAATTGACTTTTTCCACCAGTTGGCCGAATTTTGTCTATCAATCCACTGATCTCGGGAGATGAATTGAAATATACAATTAGGTCAAAATGAAGCGCTCAGATCCTTGAGATCATGCTTCCAACCAATAAGCCAAATATTAGGTCAAAAATCAAAGTTTGGTCATTTTAAGTTGAAACCCTGATTATGCCCATTTTGCCCTTTTGATAGTTTGAATGACTTTCTTGGAAAATTGTGATCCAAGACTTGAAACTTGATAGAAATAATCCTGAGGGTCCATAATGATCCATGAAAGTCATTTGAAACATTAGAAATACAACTGCCTTTGTACAAAACTCAAACCTTAATTTGAGGCATCAGTGTTGAGGAGATTGTTTGACCTGGTGGATACTTGTGCAAGCTTGAGTCATTGAAGATATTTGTAGAAAATATCTTGAGAAGTGAGAGAGCAAATTTTGGGGTACAACAGCTGCCCCTGTTCAATCTTCTTAAACCTGAAGAGTTATATTGGAGAGTCTACCATTCGTGACTTGAAGGTGGAAGATGATTGAACACTAGGGTGCCTAGAAATTTGCACTCAATGATGTGGTGGTTGATTATGTCAGGAATGGGCTTAAAGATTCCATTTGGAGAGGTTATGGAATTGTCAGAGATAGGCTTAAAGATGCCATCCATAGTGACCATTGGTAGAAATTGGAAGGAATATCAGACTAAATCCTTGGTCGATTTAATCTGAATGATATGTTGGAACGGACCCGTGTTAAGCCATGTCCAGAAATGTATTAGAAGGAATCTGTGTAAGATTGCTTCTTGATGAGCCAATGTGAAGCTGCATCTGGAAACATATGAGAAGGAGTCTGTGTAGGGCTGCCTTGGGATGAATTTGTGTGAAATTGTATCCGGAAATGTATGAGATGGAGCCTGGGTAGGGATGCTTCAGGATGAGTCCGTGTGAAACTGCATCCGAAAATTATGAGAATGAATCCGTGTAAGATTGTTTCAGGATGAGAAGGAGTCTGTTTAAGATTACTTCCAGATATTATGAGAAGGAACCCGTGTAAGATTGTTTCAGGATGAGCCCGTGCAAAGCTGCATCTGGAGATATGAGAAGGAACCCGTGTAATATTATTTCAGGATGAGCCCGTGCAAAGCTACGTCTGGAGATATGAGAAGGAACCCGTGTAAGATTGTTTCAGGATGAGCCTGTGCAAAGCTGCGTCTGGAGGTATGAGAAGGAATCCGTGTAAGATTGTTTCATGATGAGCCCGTGTAAAGCTGTGTCTGGAGATATGAGAAGTGTGATGCGGTGGGAGAACTGACTAGATGTTTTGTGTTTCGATCGCACTTGTGCGGTTAGCAAGAGTCGCCACCGACTTTTCTTTTATCCAAAAGGAAAGGTAAAAAAAGCACAGGAAAGACCTTTCGAGATTATTTCACGGGTTTGGGGGGTAGATTATGAAAAGGGAAGGTATTAGCACCCTTTTCATCCATAGTTTTCCATGGATCTTAGTTACTCGTTTAGATCACTTGCTTTTTATTGTGCGCTTGTGGTGTGGGCTTTGAAAGTATTTTGAAAAATCTCTTTGTAATGGTTCTCGTCTCTATAAGAACGTATACAAAGTTTTTGTTTCGAAAAGTGGTTCAAAGATGTGTTTGTGAATTGTGTTTCGAAAAGTGTTTTGAAAAGAGGTTTTGCAATGGTTCTCGTCTCTATAAGAACGTATACAAAATGTTTTGTCTTTTTGAAAATGTTTTGAAATGAGAGTGTAGGTGTAAAGAGTTTTTGTCATGAGCAAGCGAGTAACTAAGAGTGAATCTATCTACTCGAAAGGTCTTAAGTTGCTCTTTTCTTATTCCTTTTAATGGTGCTATCTTACCATTGATTTGGTAAGAAGCCCCACCATTGGATGTGAAGGGACAAGCGTGGGTCAATTTTACAATCATTGAAGGCAACTTGTGAGACGCTTTAGCAATTTTTGTAAGGGACGAGATTGTTTTAATCGAAGGTAACATCGAGGGTCATCGAGGGACTACGATCTTTTTTATCGAAGGGTCATTGCTAGAGCGTCTCATATTCGAGGGACATGATTGTATTTCCGAGGCAACGAGCGAGGTTACCCTAGAGGTGCGCGTGTGAGAAAGTGTGTTGGTTTCAAGTTATTTTATTCTTTGATTAGGTCATCTAGCGATTGATTTTTGAATCTTGCCATACGTGCCTAGTTACTATACAGTATATGAAAAACAATAAATTGCGGGAATTGAAATTCTACGCTATTACAAAATGTCCGGGAATGGGGGTACAATTGTTACAAATGGGGATGAATCAAATGGGATAGAAATGTCTGAATATCCTACAATACAACCAAATCGAATTTTTGTGCGATTCTATTAAAGTTATGATAATTCATGAAAATAAAATTAGCAAGATATGGAAATGAAATGTTAAGTATTTACATGAAAAGAGAGAAATAAAACCTATTCTAAAAAATAAAACTAATTGATTAAATTAAAATCTTTATTATTATTATTATTATTATTTTATTAACTATATAAATAAGTTTAAAGAAAAAAAACAAATTAAGTTAACTTTTGATGTTTTATTAAATGTAAAAAAATTAATAAAAATAAGTTTATAAATAAAAAGAAAATGATAAAAATTAATTTTCAAGACTTAAATCAAATGTATGAAAATGTATTTTATGTTTTATCTAGTAATTTTGTTAACAAATAAAAATATAAAAAGGAAACAAATTTTAAAAAAAACAAGGAACATGGGCTTAAGTGAGTTTAAGGGTGTTAGGCCCAAAGAAACATAGTTGTTATTGCTGAAATACAAAAACAAGTCCAAAAGGGGGGTGAGACCAGTAGAATACGAATGGGCTTATGGTAATTTGAACAAAACAGGCCCAGATCCTTAAATCTGTTTAATTTGTTTGATTAAGGGTGGAAACAAAATTAGGGTTCTTGGAACCCCTTTGTGTTTCACAGCGGCGCTGCCTCATCACCTCTTTCGCTCATCTCTTCCATTTTTTTGTTCATCTCTGAATCTCTGAACTAATCTCACCACTCGCCTCTTCCTAATTTCATGAACAAATCACTCTTTATTTCTTTATCTCAACATGATTCGCGTTTTCTTTGAAACCCTAATTTCTGATTTTAGCCTAAAAGGTCCGAAATTTGTCTATCCGATCTCCCCCCCCCCCAAATTTCTGTTGCCGGAGCGCCCCTTAATCTCGCCTCCCTAAACGATTTCTAGCGACTTCTCTTGAAAAGGTACGGTTCTATTTTTGTTAAAGCTTAAACGATTTAAAGGGTTTTTGTCTTGTTATGTGTTTTTCTGTTAATCTACCTTATGGTTCATTGACATGCAGAGAATGGTTTTAGGGATTCATGAGAAAGAGGGAAAGTTCATACCTTTGGAGACTTTCTATGAAATGAAAAGGGACGGCGAGATTT